GCCCAGACCATGGCTTTAATCTGACCTAAACACCCAATTTGTGGTTAAAACTTTTCAGAAGTGAGAGTAAACCTTATCTGCTTTTTTGTAAGGGTTTGCAAAAACACTCATTTCTACATGAAGCTGAGATAGACAGTTTTGTTAGTGTGCACACATCTCATATATATATATATATTAAACTAGCATCTTGTATTAGTGTATACAAAATGGATTCAGTTATATTCCATTTAATCCTTTCAGTCCCCTCTTTTATCACATAGTGATAACACACTTTTCATTGACTTACTCTCCCTATCGTCTCAATCCCATGCATTTCCTCATATTGTTGAAGCAAAAACATTTCCTCCCTTTCCTTCTCATTAATTCTCATTTTGATACACATGATCATTCAGTTGTGATGAGGTAACCCCTCACCCATCCTGAACTCCCAGAGGGTTTCTGAACCACTGGCCCCTTTCTATCATATGAAATCTCCAATAGAAACCAGAGTGGGAAGATGATAATAGTCACTATTGATAAGATAATTTGCGCATTTCTTTCTCCACTAATTATTTTCCCTTATGACCTACACCATGAAAATTTTGAATGAATAATACAGCAGCTGCCTGTGGAAGTCCTACAATCCCCTCTTTTGACATAAGACCATGTTTGTCTTGTGTCAAACCTCTGCTAGCCCAAAAATCAACTTCACTTTCAGAGGCTTGTGCCTGCAGTGTACCTAAAAGCTCATTTGACAGTAGGGATGAAGTGGACAACATTACCATAGATAGATAGACCTGCTCGATTATGCAGTTGCCCTGCAGTTTTTTCAGCTGCATCTGCCATAGCATTGCCTTTTGTGACTGGGTCTTTGGCATTAGCATGTGCCCGCACTTTAATGACCTCTGTCCTTCTTGGAAGTTGGAGTGCAGCAAGCAAATCCTGGATCAAAGAATGATGGGATATTGACTTGCCATCGGCCGTAGTGAAACCACGGCGTTGCCAAATACGGCCAAAATTATGTACAACCCCAAAGACATATTTAGAATCTGTGTATATGTTAACATCTCGATCTTGATAAAGAGTGCAAGCTCGTGTTAGGGCCACTAATTCAGCTGCTTGTGCACTGGGGTAGGGGATGGAACCTGTTTCAATAATAAGAGGTGGTTCTACTACTGCATAGCCTATGATGTATGTAGCATCACTAGGGCGTGTACAAGATCCATCGACAAACACATCAGGGGCTCCAGGAATCGGAGTCTCCAACATATCTAGTCGCGGAGAAGTGTCAGCTTGGATAACATCCAGGCAATTGTGCTCCTCCTGCAATTCTGGTGACCTTGTGTTGTGAAGATTAAGCAGGGAGGACAATAAAAGAGATGGTCCTGATGTAGATGGGCTGTATTTAACTGTGAGATTATTGGTGGATGTCAAAATTACTTCACATCCCACCAGGCGTTGTGCTGACATGTGTTGAGTGTTAATGTTTTTCAGTACATGTAGGACATGATGAGATGTGTGTAATATCAATGGGTTCCCCAAAACTATGATAGATGCCATTTCCACAACCAAGGTACACACAGACAAAGCTTGGAGACACCCCGGCATGCCCTGGACCGGGATGGGCATTGTTTTTGATAAATATGCTACCGGCCTCATGGCACCTCCATGCTCTTGAGCTAGTACTGCAGCCATGGTTTTACATGCAGATTGACAATACAAATGAAAAGATTTAGTATAATCCGGTAACCCTAATGCGGGAGACGAGACCAGTGCTGTCTTCAAATATTCAAATGCCTGCACCAATGGCAGCGTCCATTCAATACGGTCTGGTTGATCTTTCAGTGTTACTTGGCGTAATACATTGTCATAATAAGAACAGTCAGGAATCCACTGTCTACAATAGTTTACCATACCTAGGAAGGATTGCATCTGAACCTTAGTTTCTGGTTTTGGTTGTTGACATATTGCTGCCACTCTCCTTGGGCTCAGCCCCCTCTGGCCCTCAGACAATACAAATCCTAGGTACTCAACTTTGTGGTGCCACAAACTGCATCTTTTTGCGAGAGACTTTCTGTCCCTGATCAGCCAGAAACCGTAACAATGATAATGAATCAGCCTGACACGCCTTCTCGCTCACAGAACTAATCAGTAAATCATCCACGTATTGGATAAGTACTGAACCATGGGTGGGTGCCCAGTCATTGAGCATGGATCTACTGGCCATGGTATATGCTGCCGGCGAGTAGCCCTGAGAGAGATGGGTCCAGGTTAGCCTCTCCCCTTGAAAACAAAAAGTAAACAATACCTGTGTCTCCGGGTCAACTGGGACACTAAAAAATGCATTTGACAGATCAATTACTGTAAAATGTGTGGCGTTGGCAGGTATAGCATTTACCAAAGTTGTTATATCTGGGACTACAGCGGCAATGCAGGAGCACATGAAATTTATGATACCAGACCTGTCCATCTTTTGCTTGTACCAGGAGGGGAGGTGTAATGCAAGTAGGGATTTCCTTGGATTAGGGCATCCCTGTACTATAGCATCCAGCTCCTTGGGATCTATTGCCTTTAAAATCAGCTGCTCCCCAATCATCATGAATGGAAAGGCTGAATTCATCATATCTAGCTCAGCTGTCTCATCTTTAACTTCCCCCTTGTTACTTTCTGCTGACCTAAGAATTCTATCACTCTTTTCTACCTTCTTTATCTTCCTCTTTACTTTCCCTTTACCCCTCTCAGTATCCCTTTGACTAACACTCCCAGTTTCCCCATCTGAGCTAGATTCTTCTGACTCCCCTGTATATATCTGGGAAGCAGAAATAAGAACCTCTTCATCTTCATCTACTTGTTTTACCTGTGGGAGTGCTGGGTATAATGGGGCTGCATGTGGAGCTGTAGGGGCAGGACGTGCCTCGCTGTGTTTGTATGGCGGTGGTGGTGTGAAATCATTTGCTACAATTAGAGTCTTATAGCCTGGTGCATACTTCAACCAATTCTTACCCCCTTCATACATATAATTCTTGTCCCAATCTGGATTTCCAGTCCCCCAGATACCTACCTGAGGCTGTTCATGCAAACACATTCCTCTAATCATATCCATACACATAGTGTCATTTCCCCCTTCACAAGGAAAACTAGCTCCACCCAGTCATTTTGACCATCCCACTAAATTATCCACCCAGGGATTAACATAATAAATATCATAAGGAGATACCCTTGCTACATATTCTTTACAAGTTTCATTTAAGGTAGATGTGTTCTTTCCGCTCAGCTTTCTAGTTTTTCTAAACAACTTAATCAACTTTTGTGGCGGCACATGACGAGGTCCTTCCTCCTTACCTGAGGAATTACCCATAGCAGTAAATTAGTAAACTAACAAACAAGACAAAAAACAACAATAACACACTTTTTACAAATTATACAAAGTGCTGTGCCAGGTGTGTCCTAGTATTATTCCCCGAGCCGAGAATCCCTTAGTCTCGCTCCTAAAACTCCAACCACCAAATTTCCCTGAAGTTCAGAATAATTACCTCGGTAAAGAAAGCATTAAAAAATAAAACTCTCACTTACCTTGGCAATTATCCCACTTCTGACACCACTGAAAGTAGGTAGGTGGTCTTTTTCCTGTTCCTTGGGGGCCCCCTCAAGATACCAACGGTCACACCTGGACACAGCTACGAGATCTCGGAAAGTGAATGCACTCAAATCACCTCAGTTGCGATTGCAAACACTTCAGTTTTATTGGCATAACATCAGGGTTATTATACTGTAGTCTTTAGGCAAACACACCCTCAGACCTTCCAATCAGATACATGTACATTGTTTTACCTTAACTCAACAATTATTTGTATGAGGTTTGCATTTTCACTCTTCTGCTTTATCTATCATACCATATCTCCTCTAAAGCCCAGACCATGGCTTTAATCTGACCTAACACCCAATTTGTGGTTAAAACTTTTCAGAAGTGAGAGTAAACCTTATCTGCTTTTTTGTAAGGGTTTGCAAAAACACTCATTTCTACATGAAGCTGAGATAGACAGTTTTGTTAGTGTGCACACATCTCATATATATATATATTAAACTAGCATCTTGTATTAGTGTATACAAAATGGATTCAGTTATATTCCATTTAATCCTGTCAACGATTACCCCAGAGAAGCTCCAAAACTCTTTTTGGGAGTGGAGCACAGTGCGTTACCACAATTTCTGGTGCATTTGCACCACTTGGGGTGCCTTTTAACATGTAATGACAACAAAAACACAATGCACATTTGCAGCGTGTTTCTGAAACGCATGGCAAAGCATGCATCTTCTGTGCAGTTTGCCCTACGTTTGGAAACACAGATGTGAATGGATTCTCATTTGTCTTGTGTAAATAAACCATTTCATTTTCAGGCTATATTCACATCTAGAGTAGTGGGAGCTAAGGTTTTGTTTGGCTCATTTTTCCAGTGACACACATAGGGCAATCCGTTGATTTCAATGGGCTGCGCTACACCTGGCAAAGTAGCTCATGAGACATTTTGGCGTGACGTGGGTTGCACGTTTTTTACTGTGTGTTTTGCTGCATTTGTCAATCGTTTTTTCACTTGGCAAAATATGTGCTTGTAGCGGCGTTTGGTGCGCTGTTAACAATTCTTGGCACTGAAGGTGCAACTAGCCTAATTTTAGGTGTATAAAGGTTAACATACACTCTACAATCTGATTGTACATTCTCTGTACAATCTCCTTTAGATGTACCAAAACTATATCATAGGATGACACACCATTTATCCAATCACTCTGTAGCCAATCAGGCAGGTCCTTGCACTACATAGTTGATGGTAGATCTAAAGAACATTGTACAATAAAATTGTGTACCATATTTTTCGCTCCATAAGACGCACCTGACCATAAGACGCACCTAGGTTTTAGAGGTGAAAAACAAGAAAAAAAAAATTCTGAACCAATGGACTGCAGACACAGTACAGGGGATGACCAGAGAGACACAGCACAGGGACCAGACTGCAGACATAGTACAGGAGATGACCAGAGACTGCAGACATAGTACAGGAGATGACCAGAGACTGCGGACATAGTACAGGAGATGACCAGAGACTGCGGACATAGTACAGGAGATGACCAGAGACTGCGGACACAGTACAGGAGATGACCAGAGACTGCGGACACAGTACAGGGGATGACCAGAGACTGCGGACACAGTGCAGGAGATGACCAGAGACTGCAGACACAGTTACGGGGGATGACCAAGAGACTGCGGACACAGTTACAGGAGAGATGACCAGAGACTGCGGACACAGTGCAGGAGATGACCAGACTGCGGAGTGCTGCGGACGGACACAGTGCAGGAGATGACCTGCGAGACTGCAGGGGGACCAGAGACTGCGGACACAGTGCAGGGGATGACCAGAGACTGCGGACACAGTGCAGGGGATGACCAGAGACTGCGGACACAGTGCAGGGGATGACCAGAGACTGCGGACACAGTGCAGGGGATGACCAGAGACTGCGGACACAGTGCAGGGGATGACCAGAGACTGCGGACCAGGGGATGACCAGAGACTGCGGACACAGTGCAGGGGATGACCAGAGACTGCGGACACAGTGCAAGGGAATGACCAGAGACTGCGGACACAGTGCAGGGGATTTGGCTGACCTTTGGGGAGGGAGGGGGAGCGGGTACCTGAATTTGACAGGTACCCGCTCCCACTTCCGCGGAGTTGCCTTCCCTCTTCTTCCCGGGCCGGCTTCTGTGACAGCCGGGTGCCCACTGCGCATGTGCGAGAAGCGCTGCGCTTTGTGAATGGCTCGGCGCCTTCTGGGACCTTTCATGTGTCCCAGAAGACACCGGATCATTCACAAAGCGCAGCACATGCGCAGTGGGCAACCGGCTGTCACAGAAGCCGGCCCGGGAAGACTGTGCAGCGCTGGAGCGAGGAACAGGTAAGGCCCTGCAGGAGACAACAGCTGAGCGGCCGGCCCGGTATTCTGACAAGGTGGCCGCAAAAATACCGGACCGGCCGCTTTTATATTCGCTCCATAAGACGCACTGACATTTTCCCCCCTTTTTTTGGGGAAAAAAGTGCATCTTATGGAGCGAAAAATACGGTATATATACTGTATGGTGACTTTACAGAACCCAGGACACACTTGTTTTCAATACTACAGCTCTATCCACATAGGCTGTTATCTGAACGCTCAGCACATTCTGCTAAATTAACTATATATGCAAGATGAAATTAAGATGGAAAAAAAATTGATACCTGTGTATTTAGTGAGAACAATGATCACTGATTAATTTTCATTGTATTGGAAAACCATGCACCTGTGGAAGTGGGTGATAGTAATCTGCTGGTTGGGGAGAATGCAGAAACAGGTGTGTGCTAATGAGGTCAGCTGATGAAATCCTTCCTGTGTCTTACTGTCCTTTCTGTCCTAAATCTACATACAGCACCAACAAGTGATGAAGCTTTCTAAGAAAGTCAGCAAGGGATAAGGTAAGGCCTTGTTCTCAAAATCAAAGAGAATGTTTATTTTTCTTAAACAGAGCTACATTAAAGAATAAATTCACCTTTTAGTAAAAAAATAATAAATGCACATTTTTTGCAGGTACAAAAATGTGTATTATTTTTGTCTGCAGGAGCCTGTGAACCATTACACCAGCAATCAGCAGATCTATGGTGCCATGCAGGTCTCCTGCAGATTTGTCAGTATATCTGCTTGCTCGTATGGGATGTACGAGCAAGTAGATATACTGGCAGGAAGAATTAATTAACTACCACGTCGCTGTGAAGCTCACTGCGGACTACAAGCTGACAGCTGCTAAGGCTGTTGGGGCTTGTAGTCTCTCATTCACAGATGACTGAATGACTGACGTGGCCATGTGGGTGGAGCCCTGCACGGCTATTTTTTTTTTTTTTTTTCAATTTGACAGCAAGGGTGGAAAAGATCCCCCAATAGCTGTCATAGCGGGGAGCGGGGGGGCCGGTCTGACCGTACCATGTTACACCCTGAATATGTTTAATGGTATATTAGTACATAGGGGAGCTGGAATTTAGAAAAAAAAGGTGAACTTAGCCTTTAAATGATTCAGATCATCAAACAAAATTTTAATATTACACAAAGATAACCTGAGTAAATAAATTCAGTTTTTAAATGATGATTTCATTTATTAGGGAAAAAGCTGTCCAAACCTGCCTGGCCCTATGTAAAAAAGTAATTGCTCCCTAATCCTAATAACTGGTTTTGCCACCCTTGGCTGCAATAACTGCAATCAAGCATTTGCAATAACTGGCAATGAGTCTTTCACATCACTATGGATGCTTGAGGTGATTGTAGCCGTATTAGTGCATGTGCGACAGAAACAATTGAGTACTGTCCGTGATACTTTTTTTATTTGCACTAACATACAATCTTGAGTACAAGCTTTCGGGGAGTGTCCCCTTCTTCAAGGTCTGCTTGGACCTTGAAGGGGACACTCCCCGAAAGCTTGTCCTCAAAATTGTATGTTAGTGCAAATAAAAAAAGTATCACAGACAGTACTCAATTGTTTACATCACTATGGAGGAATTTTGGCCCACTATTCTTTGCAGAATTGTTTAACTCAGCCACATTGGACTGTTTTCAAGCATGAACAGCCTGTTTAAGGCCATGCCACAGCATCTTGGTCTGATTTAAGTCCAGACTTTGACTAGGCCACTCCAAGACCTTAATTTTGTTTTTTTGAGCCATTCAAAGGTGGACATGCTGGTGTGTTTCAGATCATTGCCCTGCTACATAATCCAAGTGCACTTTAGCTTGAGGTCACGACCTGATGGCCAGACATTCTCCTTCAGGATTTTCTGGTAAAGCACAGAATTCATGATTCCATCAATTATAGCAAGCTGTCCAGGTCCTGAAGCTGCAAAGCAAACCCAGACCATCACCCTACCACCACATGTTTGACTGTTGATATGATGTTCTTTTTATGAATGCTGTGTTAGTTTTACAACAGATGTAACGGGATGCACGCATTCCAAAAAGTTAATCTTTTGTCAAATCAGTCCACAGAATATTTGCCCAAAAGTCTTTTGGGATAATCAAGATGTTTTTTGGAAATTGTGAGATGATCCTTTGTGTTCTTTTTTTCATCTTGGAACTCTCCCATGGATGCAATTTTTGCCCAGTCTTTCTTGTTGTTGAATCATGAACACTGACCTTAACTGAGGCAAGTGATACCTACAGTTCTTTAGATGTTGTTTTGTGTTCTTTATGACCTCCTGGATGAGTCGTCATCATGCTCTTGGAGTAATGTTGGTAGGCTGGCCATTTGTTGGGAAAGTTCACCACTGTTCCAAGTTTTCTCCATTTGTGGATAATGGCTCTCACCATGATTCGCTGGATCCCAAAGCCTTAGAAATTGCTTTGTTTCTCATCTGTTCTTGAATTTCTTTAGATCCCTGCATGATGTGTTGCTTTTTGAGATCTTTTTAGAATTCTTCGCTTCGTCAGACAGCTTCTGCTTAAATGATTTCTGATTCAACAGGTCTGGCAGTAAGCAGGCCTGGGTGTGGCAAGTGAAATGTAACTCCGCCTTCCAAAAAATGTGGTTATTCACAGTTCATTCATGATTTCGTGAGGAAGGCAGGCAGGCAATTCCTCTTTCACTCAGGGCCAGGCAGGATTGGACAGCTTTTTTCCCTTAATAAATGAAATTATCATTTATAAGTTGCATTTTGAATTTACTCAGGTTATCTTTGTGTAAATAATAAAATTTAAAAAAATCAGGAAGAGAGCAAATACTTTTTCACGGCATTGTACATTTGGCAAGGGAAATATTATTTTACAATATTTGCCTGTAGAAACACATTGGGGAGATTTATTAAAACTGGTGCACACAGAATCTGGTGCAGGTGTGCATAGTAACCAATCAGCTTCTAACTTTAATTTGTTCAATTAAATTGATTGCAAGGGTTCAGATTTTAACAAACATGTTATACTTACCTGCTATGTACATTGGTTTTGCACAGGGCAGCCCCAGTCCTCCTCTTCTTGGGTCCCCCACCAGCGCTCCAGGCCCCTCCATTCTGCTGAGTGCCCCAAGAGCAAGCTGCTTGCTCTGGGGGCATTCATGCATGCTCGTTCCTGAGCCACCTCTGTCTATAAGAATGGGTTTCCATGGCCAAGCAGCTGCATCCAAGTCTTACATCACCAAGTGCAATGCAAAGCTTCAGATGCAGTGGTGTAAAGCACGCTGCCACTGGACTCTAGAGCAGTGGAGACATGTTCTCTGGAGTGACAAATCACGCTTCTGTGTGGCAATCTGATGGACATATCTGGATTCGGCGGTTGCCAGGAGAATGGTACTTTCCTGAATGCATTGTACTAAATGTAAAGTTTGGGGTTGTTTTTGAGGGGTTGGGCTTGGCCCCTTAGTTCCATTAAAAAGAGCTCTTAAGGCATCAGCATACCAAGACATTTTAGACAATTTCATACTCCCAACTTTTTGGGAACAGTTTGGGGATGGCCCTTTCCTGTTCTAAAATGACTGTGCGCCAGTGCACAAAGCAGGGTCCATAAAGACATGGCTGAGTGAGTTTGGGGTGGAGGCACTTGACTGGCCTGCACAGAGTCCAGACCTCAATCTGATAGAACACCTTTGGGATGAATTAGAGTGGAAACTGCGAGCCAGGCCTTCTCATCCAACGACAGTGCCTGACCTCACAAATGCGCTTCTGGAAGTATAGTCAAACATTCCCATCTACACACTCCTAAACCTTGTGGACAGCCATCCCAGAAGAGTTGAAGCTGGTATAGCTGCAAAGAGTGGGCCAACTCCATTTTGAACCCTACGGACTAAGACTGGGATGCCATTAATGCTCAAAAGTGTGTAGTGGCAGGCGTCTCAATACTTTTGGCAATATAGTGTCCTATCTATCTATCTATCTATCTATCTATCTATCTATCTATCTATCTATCTATCTATCTATCTATCTATCTATCTATCTATCATGCTGCAGATATAGTAGATCTACAAATATGTGTGAAGTGTGAATCACAGAGTTAGTTTATTGCCAAACACTGTTCTGTATTATTTTTTTGTCAAATTGTTACTTTAAAAGAAGGAAAAAAGAAAACTGACAGAAATAAATAGTAGCTCCATGCCCACATTTAAATGGCCCTGAACTCAAAACTGAAGATTTATTGTGTTATTGGGGACATATAGAAATGGTAAGCAGTGCCCCGAAAAATCTACCTTTTGGTTGGGATTGTGCCTGAGAAATAGTAAAGCACTTCATGTGTCTACAGACTCATAGCTGTAAATCTACAGTGTCAGATTTAAGGGACTGTGGATGGGACTATAAGTCTTACAAGATTTTGTAGTGAGATTCAATGTCATTAGTGCTGCTCACTGTTCTTGCTGGAGAAAAATCTGTGCCTGATAACCGACAGACAAGCAACTCCCTGCTTCTGCTCCATTCATTCTGTGGGTCTATGCTTTCTTATCCTCTCCTGCTATTGCTTGATTATTCCTCCATCATATCACCAGTTATTAGGGAACAGCTCTGACGCGAGGAAGCAAAGTGCAGATTCTCTACCAAGATGGCCACCTGCACACAAATAACGCCATGCAGAACAAGGCATGGCAATTCAGTAATGGAGAAAATATTGGCTAAAGGAAGATCACAGGCAATGCTGGTGACTAGTTCTTTGCCCTTTTTTGTGGGTACACCTTTCACATGGAAACTCTTTACAGAGTTATCCCAATAAACCTCTTGTCTTTAAAATATGTCAAGCACCTTTCATATCTGTTAGCTTTTAAAATGACAGAGGGATTTCTTACTGAAAGAAGAAAATCTGTTTGATGGACCACAAAGACATTAACCACTTCCTGTCCGGACACTTTTACCCCCTTCCTGTCCAGGGCAATTTTCAGCTTTCAGCGCTATCACACTTTGAATGACAATTGCGCGGTCATGCAATACTGTACCCATATTAATTTTTTACCATTTTTTTGAGACAGATAAAGCTTTATTTTGGTGGTATTTATTCACCGCTGGGATTTTTATTTTTTTTTACTATGTAAATGAAAAAGTCCAAATATTTTGAAAAAAAAGTGTTTTTTTTTATAAAATTTTGCAAATAAATAATATTTCATCCTAAATCTTGGCCAAAATTTATTCCGTTATTTTTTTAGTAAAAAAAAAAATCCAAATTAGTTTATAACCAAACATTATAATTTTTAAACATTTTTTTTTTTACATTTTTATTTTATTTTTTTTTATATTTTTTATTTTTTATTTTTTATTTTTACATACTGTCACCCTAGCAGTACAGTGTCACCATGGTGACACTGTACTACTTGTGGGGGGTGATGAAGATTTTTTTTTTTTTTTTCACTGATTGCTTTTACACCCATATAGGATGTAAAAACAATCATTTCTCTTTCTCTCTGTCTGCATTCTTGCAGTCATTGAGAAATACTGAGTGAGCTGTGATTGGTCACAGCTTGTCACATGGTACAAGGCTGTTGTGAATAGCCTTGTACCATGTGACCTCTGTGATCATTCACAGATTTCACACGTAGTAAGCAATGATGTCACAAGTGACATCTTGCTCACTACTTTGCATGTGATCACTGATTCGCCAATCAGTGATCACATGACCGGGACCTCGTACAGAGGTCCCGTCCGACGATCGGTGTTTCACTGTGTCCGGAGGACACAGCGGACACCGGATCGCGGTGGTGCGCGCTCCTAGGGAGCGCGCACAGCTAGAAAAGGCGGGTGCCGTTTAGGAACGGCAACCCGACCTTGGACTGCCACCGCCCTGCCGTTTATAAACAGCAGGCGGACGGCAAGAGGTTAAAGAATACTTTTAAAACAAAAAGAAAAATGTACTTTCTACTGCCAATTCAATCCTGTTAATATCCAGTTGTGGACACATTTGTTGGCACCCTTACAGCTCATTGAAACAATGCTTCACTCCTCCTGAAAAGTGATTACATTTAAAATCAAATATTTAATGTATACCTGCATGCCGGTGGTATGTCATAGAACAAAGTTAAGAAACTATGAATAGAAATTATTCTGCAAAGATATTCTAAAATAGCCTGGAAACATATGTTGATTTCCCTAGAAAAATATTATAAATGGATCATAGAGATATTTCAAACTCTTTCCTGTAAGTGTTATCAAACATGTCTTAAGTCTTTTAATCAATCATGCAGCCTATTTTAAATGGAGAAAAATATTCACTCTATTTGTTTGGTATCAGTGTGTACACCACACTGAAAATAGACCAGAGGAAGCAAAGGAGAGTTTTCTGAGGAGTTCAGAAGGAAAGTGTAGACCAACATGTCAAGGGCAAAGACTACAAGACCTTCTCCGAGCAGCCTGAATTTCCTGTGATTGCAGTTATAAATATTAAGAAGTTTAAGGATGTGGCCACAAAACAAAAAGTTTATCCCAGATTGAATAGAAGGATAGTGCAAAAGGTAGACAGAGCCAAGGAGAACTTCCAAAGACACAAGATGAATGCCATGGTCAAGGTATATCAGTGTCACTTTGTAAGTAGGCTCAATGGAAGAATATCCAAGATGACTCCACTCTTAAAGGGAAAACATTATAAAGCCAAACTGAAATGTGCTAAATTGCATATTGACAATTCACCATGCTTCTGGGAGAATGTCTTTTAGACAGATGAAATAACTGGAGCTTTAAAGAATGTCAATCAGCTCTGGGGTCACAAATGAAATAAAAAATGCTATCAAAGAAAAGAAGACCATACTTTGTCTGGCACAGGGTGCCTTGAAGCTGTGCAGGGCACAATAAAATTTCATGAGTATCAAGGAATTCTGAAGCAAAAACATACTACCCAGTGTCAGAAATCTCAGTTGCGAGTCATTGTCCTCCAATAGGATAATGGCCCAAAAAAAAAGACTGCTAAAAGCACCCAAGAATGACTAAAAACCAAACACAGGTCTATTCTGAAGTGGCCTTATATGAGCCCTGATCTGAATCATAATGAACATCTATGGAAAGAGTTAAAAAGTGCAGCTCGGAGAGGGCCCCCTTCAAAGATGAGACAGCTGGAGCAGAGTGGGCCAAACTACTTGTTGCAGGTGCAGAAGTCTCATTGAGAGCTGTGAAAGAATGTGGTGCCCGACCCCCGCCCTTCTCACCAACCTGTGGCCAAAAGACCAGCCGATCTTGCACTGCACTGTCACTTGCATAACAATGCCACTCTCAGCTGCGCCCTGCACAAAGATTTTCCAGCTCGTGGGACCACAATCTATGTGCCAGCAGCCTGAGAGCGATTGTTACTGGGTCAGGTTAATTACTCAATTAACCCTTCACACTGCCACCACCACCTTTTACAGAGAACAAGGAAACTCTCAAATTCTAGCAATAACACTATATTAGCATAAGCGTCTGTAATACACACTGTTACCACAGGCAGGTATATTCGGAGGATTATTACACACAGTAGCACTCTTCAAGAGACAGGGATTCTTTAGTTTGCATTAAAAGCTTTAGAGACCGTTTCAACACTTTTCAAAATAGGGTTTATTACTAAAAAGGTCAAAATGGTACAATTAAAAATATTTGCATAAAAAGATGTCACAAAGACATGAAGAGAACAATAATGCAACAGAGAAATAAAAGAAAGGAGTTAAGAAGGCAGGATACTTGTGTCCTGGTTTAGCAGAGTCCAGTTGTTCGAGCAAAAAGGTGGCCTTAGCTCTCAAGTCCGTTTAAGATGTTTCTTGATTGATGTTAAATGAGAGCTCCCTTCACCAGGCCTGTCAGTCCTTTTCTAGGATATTAAAAGGGTGTTGCCTGAGAACAACTGAGCAATCACCCGGTTTAGGGGATTGGTTCTAGGAGGTCACCAAGTTTATGACCAAGTCGCACTACAATTTCATACTCATATTAATAACTTCCAATACGTGCAGGAGGTATTCTAGCAACTGGCAGATTAATATTCAGAATTCTATTTCAAACCCAGGGATACCAAACACAATGTACCCTTGTCACCCGGGCGGGAAGAGACTGCTTTTGTGAGGGACCGCCAAGCGGCACCACTAGCACTCCACTGGTCAGGTGTGCCCAGAGCGCGGAGTCTAAGCCCCAGGGTTCTTGTTCACCAGAGCCCCTGATGGTGGGGATGGACTTGGAGTACCCTGGGACCAGGTCGCCACTACTGAGCACACCTGTCAGTGGTAGGGGTGTTCGCCAGGGGCTCCAACCAGGGAGAGCCAGATGTGAGGAGGTCGGGTAACCCCGATGGGATGGATGGCTGAGCAAGTGCGAAGTCAGACGGGCCGAGTTGGTAACGGAGCGGACGGTATGGTACAAGGGAGCGGGCAGAGAATCGTCGGGTCACACGCCAGGTCAGCAACAGTAGGTCAGAACTAATGAGGGGCATTCAGAAAGAGGTCAGGCAAAGCAAAGGTCTGGGCAGGAGAAATCAGCAGGTCAGAAGCAATCCGGGTCAATAACTTACTTAGGCACAGGTTCAGAATCACAGGATACAGGTAAGACCAGAAGGCACTGACATGACAGCTCAGGGACATTTAAATATCCCGCCCTGCGCTGCCATTGGTGCCCAGCGGGCGGCCTCGGCTTGTACTGCGCATGCGCGAACTCGAACGCCGCGGCCGGCCCGGACCTAGTGCCCGTGTCCCTGCACAGGGCGGTGCACTGCGCCTGCGCCGTGACCATCGTGGCGGGGATCGAGGGGATCCCTGACAGCTTTTTTCCCCTTCCTATGTGCTAACATAGTCATGTATGACCTTGATCTGTTCAGCCCGAAATGATCTCTCGAAAAATATATATCTAATATTAATGTGCCCAGTTCCTGTTAATGCTATGAACTATATGTGAAATTGTGACGTGTCGAAAAGATGTTTCATGGCACGCTCTGCATTCCTAGAGCCCTAATGGCCTAACAGGTCATGGCTGACTGAGTTGTTGTTTTACTAAAGGGCAGAGGAAAGTGTCTTTGCCATACAGACATCCCGCTAAGCCTAATTAGTCATTTACAACTCTTGGAGCTGGCCTCTATTTGTGTTTTATTTATGATAAGATGCTCTTTTGAAGTTTTGTTACAACTTACAGCCACAAATTCCATTTTCAAGATGAGGGAGTAGGGGAGAAAGAGTTCATGAACAACAAAATGGCTGAGACCTTAACAAGATGGCTGCCGCATACAGCTTCCATGTCGCTATTGCGCATAGTCATTACAAGAGCTACAGCTAAATTTGTTTGCAGTGATTCTAAAGGCTGTGCATCAAAATGATTAGGTTAAGGGTCCCATCATTTTTTGTCCATGTCATTACATTTGTTTTATTTACAATATTCTGTTTAATCAAAAATCAAAAGCAAAGTCTTATTTTTATTGAATATGGAACAGACTATGATGAATGGCAGTTTAAAGTTCTTGCAGAAAAAAATTATCTTTATAATTTACCAGCAAATTTTGTCCAAGATTTGCTTTTCTACCACGTTGGCCAGCTGCAGACAAAGACATTTGTGCAGAACAAGGGATGGGAAATCAGTAAATGGGGTAAAAAATCCTTTAAAGAAGTTCTGATTGGACGGAATATGTAAGCAGGCAGGGCGGTGACATAGTGGTGGGCGGTACTCATCTGCTATCCTATCCTTTGCCGATAAGCCAATATATATTTTCTGTCAAGGGAGTATAGCCATTTGTTACCAATAAATGTTTACATATTACGCTATTGTGGCATTTTCATTTGTGTTGTTCATGAGCAAATATCACTGCAGGGAAGTGGAAGAGAAGATCAAATGTTTGGGAGGAGGAATCCAGGAGCTGCAGGGATCTGTAAAGCGTTCACTTAGTGGTACATCTAAGGAGGTGAGGGCACACCTAAATAACACTTGATGCATGGAGAGTCTGGAGGACACTGTGGGCAAGTTTAATTGATCACATGGGTGGAACATATAACATGCTCTAGAAGGTGAACACATCCTTTAAATGTTTTGTCGTAAAAGTATAGTTTCAAGCACCTTCAATATCTGCTGGCTCATAAAGTGATACAGAGATTTTGTACTGGAAGAAACTGAAAATCTCCTTGATGGACCACAAGGACTTTTCAAGACCATTTTACTTACCGTTTTACAGCCAAGCCAGTTCTGTTAATATAAGTAAGGGATTAATTTAAGCTATAAAGAGCACATGTAAAATAAAAAATTGTGTTAATAGATTGTTTACTATCACCCTGCTTTAGCACCAGCTTGATTTCCTTCTTACCGTATTTTATTGGTAGTTGTGTTTCCAGAAGTGACTGTAAAAAGTGTACACCTGTTAAATTTAAATGTTCTTGGTGTCCGTTGAATCTTCTCAGGTTTGATAGCTTTCAACGATCCGGTGATTGAGGACTTCTGGAAGGGAACATTTTCATTTATCCACCAGCCTATGTATTATATTTGTGCCCTTGTATTTCTATGGGTATGGGAAAGCAATTCAGCAGTGTGCTGTCTCATACACAAATATCCCTGTAAATGCTCTATCTGCTTCCCTTCTAGGCAATGGGGGCTATATTATATGGTACAATTACTGCTGCTTCTCACTTCTCAGTTACACAGAGATATTGAATTGTGAATCATGCTTTGGACCTTGCTGATAATACCACCTTGTCTTCACGCCTTGGACTCCATTAA